GCAGCCACACAGAAGGCCACGCCCACTTCTGCGGAGGCCACGCCCCCTACAGTTGAGGCCACACCCCCCGGCCAGGCCCAGATGCTTGTCCCTGGTCCTGTCCGGCCTCCCCCCGGTGGGGGCGTGGTCCAGGCAGCAAGGGAAGGGGCGCGCAGGGAAGTGGGGCAGGGACACACTGACGAGGAACCTGCAGAGAAGGGTAAAGGGCGGAGATGAGGTGGCCGGGCGCTCTGGCGGAACTCGGGCAGGTGTTCCCCAAAGTCTCCCCAGTTGTCCAGCGGTGGGGGCACGTGGGGCAGGGTCTTGCTGACCAACGAACCTGCAAAGCTTTAATAATATTTTGTGCTGTAAGCTTGACCACATCTTGTCACATAGCCACTTGCATCTTTTGTATTTCACAAGTCTGTGGAATTCCTTTTTGCTTCACTATAATTGTTCCTTGTGATTTTTTTTTTAAACCTAATGGTTTTAGTATCCACTGATGAATCTTACCTAAACCAGTTACTTCTCTGGTTGTTGCAAATAAGTAAATAGGGTTTATAGCATATTTGTTGTATACTTCAGCAATCTTTTCACTTAAGGACATCACTTAATCCTTATAAACTAGGTCTCTCTTAGGTGATATTTTTCATCCGTTAATATATGCAGATTTTTTAAAATAGGCCATAATTAATTCTTATAGTTTAAAACTCAAAAGAAATATAGAGTTTATATAGTGAAGTACCTTCCACCCATGAAGAATTTGATAATTACTGAGGCCAGAGTGCTAGTACAGTGGGTAGGGCGCTTATCTTGCACAAGGCTGACCTGGCTGGATTCAGTCCCCAGTATCTCATGTGTTGCCCTGAGCACCGGCAGGAGTATTTTCTTAGTACAAAACCAGGAGTAACCCTCAAAGAAGAAATCCGAATGGCAAAAAAGCACATGAGAAAATGCTCTACATCATTAATCATCAGGGAGATGCAGATCAAAACCACAATGAGATACCATCTCACACCTCAGAGACTGGCCCACATTCAAAAGAACAAAAGCAGCCGATGCTGGCGCGGATGTGGCGAGAAAGGGACACTCCTTCACTGTTGGTGGGAATGTCGACTGGTTCAGCCCTTCTGGAAAACAGTATGGACGATTCTCAAAAAATTAGAAATTGAGCTCCCATTTGACCCAGCAATACCACTCCTGGGAATATATCCCAGAGAGGCAAAAATGTATAGTCGAAGTGGCATCTGCACTTGTTTGTTCATTGCAGCACTCTTTACAATAGCCAGAAACTGGAAGGAACCTGAGTGCCCAAGAACAGATGACTGGTTAAAGAAACTTTGGTACATCTACACAATGGAGTACTATGTAGCTCTTAGAAAAGATGAAGTCATGAAATTTACATACAAGTGGTACAATATGGAAAGTATCATGCTAAGCGAAATGAGTCAGAAAGAGAGGGATAGACATAGAAAGATTGCATTCATCTGGGGGATATAAAGTAACAAAATATGAGATTAATACCCAAAAATAGCTGAGATCAACACCAGGAGGATTACTCCATAGCTTAGAGGCCAGCCGGGTATTCTAGGGGAAAGGGCAGCTCAGATAGAGAAGGGAGCACCAAATAAAGGGTGTTTGGAGGATCCTCCCAGGAGGGGAGATGCATGTCGAAAGTAGACCATGGACTGAACATGTTTGCCACTCAATGCCCCTTTTGCAGACCACAACACCCAAAAGGAGAGAGAGAACAAAAGGGAACGCCCTGCCACAGAGGCAGGGTGGGATAGGGGGGATGGGAGGGAGGGATGTTATCCATGTTGGTGGAAAATGGTCACTGGTGGAGGGATGGGTATTTGATCATTGTATAACCGAAACCCAAGCACAAAAATTTGTAAATCTACAACTGTACCTCATGGTGTTTCACTAATTAAAAAACAAACAAACAAAAAAAACCCAGGAGTAACCCAAGAGTATCACACAGTGTGGCTACAAAAGAAAACAAACAAAAGAAATTAAATGTTTCATTTGTTGTCATGAATATTTTCCCCAATTTTACATAGATATGTTCTTTCTAACAGTTCAAAATGAAAGTAATTGATGTATATATTTTTTCACAATATCTTTGGAGGGACTGGAGAGATAGTAAGTTGGTAGGGCACTTGCCTTGCACACAGCCAGTCCAGGTTCAATCCCCCACATCCCACTCCCTAAATCCTCCAGGAGTAATTCCTGAGTACAGGGCCAAGAGTTGCCCCTGAGCATCACCAGGTGTGGCCCCAAAACAAATAAAAAACAGCAAAAAAAAAAAAAAGCTTTCATTTGACCCAGAAATTCGACTCCTGGGAATATACTCCAAGGGCCTAAAGCACAAATCAGAAGACATCTATACTCCTGTGTTCACTGCAGCACTATATACAAAAGCAAAAGTATGGAAACAACTCAGATACCCACCAGAAGCTATGTTACATATGCACAGTGGAGGAAGATTAAGAAAATTAACTTAAAGCTACTATAGAGCCTTAAGAAAAGATAAAATCATGCAATTTTCCTGCAACATAGATGGATCTGGAATAAATTTCCTGTCGAGTTAAATCAGCCAGAATGAGGAACAGACTCAGAATGATCTCTCTTATACGTGGGTTACAAAGAAACCTCATAGGAGAATATCAGACACCTAAGTGGCAATAGAAATGACGAGCAGGAGAACTGATCTTCTGTAGGAAGTTTGGCACTTGGGCAGAATGAGGGGGATAAATTAGGGAAGGGAATACTAGGACAAAGGATGAGGGGAGATAAATTAGAGAAGGACAATGGGGAGTGTGCCTTGAGACAAAGGCACTCTGGGGGGGTTGGAGGGAAGGAAACTGGGGACATTGGTGGAAGGTAGATTTTTTTTTAATTGAACCACTGTGAGATAGACCCTTACAAAGCAGCACTTGATTAGGTTTCAGTTGTGCGGTGTTCCAACGCCTTCCAGCAGTTTACGTTCTCCAGTTTCCCTCCCATAACCTCAGCCTGCCTCTGTGATGAGTACTTTTCTCTCCCCTTCACCTCTCTCTACCTCTCCTGCTCTCTTCTTCCATCCCTCCCTCTCTCCCTCTCCCTTCCTCCTTCTCCCCTCCTCTTTGTGATTTGCAATACAGATACTGAAAGGTTCTCTAGTAAGGTAAGGTAAAGGTAAAGGCCCTCCCGTTGATTATCGATTTGCTCGAGCGGGCCCAGTAACGTCTCCATTGGAGACTTTGTTGTTACTGTGTTTGACATATCGAATACGTCACGGGGAGCTTGCCAGGCTCTGCCTGGGCGAGATATGCTCGGTAGCTTGCCGGGCTCTCCGAGAGGGGCGGAGGAATCGAACTCGGGTCGGCCATGTTGGCTGCATGCAAGGCAAACGCCCTACTGCTGTGCTATTGCTAGTAGATATTTTTTTTTCCTTTTTGGGTCACACCTGACGATGATGCACAGGGGTTACTCCTGGTTCATGCACTCAGGAATTACTCCTGGCAGTGCGTAGGGGACCATATGGGATGCTGGGAATTGAACTCAGGTCTACCGTGTGCAAGGCAAATGCCCTATCAGCTGTGCTCTCGATCCAACCCTTCTGGTATATCCTTTTACCTACTCTTAACATTCAGTTCTTGTCCGGCATGATCATTTCCAGCTATTATTGTCATACTGGTCCCTTCTCTATCTTACCTACCTTCTGCCTCACACATACTTTTGGTTGATTCCACGATTGACCAGTCCTCCTAGCCCCTGTTTTCCCTGGCCATGGATATTATATATAAGGTATATATATTGTATTCACATACACATTTATATTTATATACCATAAGTGAACACAGTCATTCTGTATCTGTTCCTCTCTTTCTGACTCATTTCACTCAGGATGATCTCCCAGTCCATCCATTTATAGGCTGATTTCATGACTTCCTATTTCCTATCAGCTGCATAATATTCCATTGTGTAGATGCGTCATTGAATTGTTTTTTTGATAATTCCATTTTCCATCGTTCCAATTTTAGTATATGTGCTGCCGAAGCGAGCACGATAGCACAGCGGTAGGGCGTTCGCCTTACAAGTGGCCAACATGGCCGACCCGGGTTCGATTCCTCCGCCCCTCTCGGAGAGACCGGCAAGCTACCGAGAGTATTCGATATGCCAAACACAGTAACAACAAAGTCTCCAATGGAGACGTTACTGGACCCGCTGGAGCAAATCCATTTTCCATTTTGTTGTAACAAGCAATATAAAGTAAGTTACTTTGTGTCTGATAAGGGGGAGACCATAGGGGTGAATGAGATGAGAAACTGGGGACATTTATAAAGGAAAGTTCACACTGTTGGTGGGATTGGTGTCAGATTATTGAATGCCTAAAACAACTGTATTATGAACCACTTTGTAAACCATGGTACTTAAATGCATTTTCTTTTTATAAAAAGAAAAAGCACAGATTTCTTAAGTTCATAAAACTGTCTTATCAGGGCAAGAGAGAAAGAGTTAAGACTCTTGCTTTGCAGATAGCCAACTTCAGTTTGATCCCCAGCACTACATGCATTCTTCCAAGCACCTTCAGGAGCGATCCCTGAGTCTAGAGCCAGGAGTAAGCCCTGAGTGGAGCTGGGTGAGGCCCCAAACTCACCTGCCCCCCACACAAAAAGAAATCCCTTCAGTGAATGCAAAACTGAAGCTAAACATTTGATAAAATTCAATCCCTCATACTACATTTATTTTTATATCTTGCAAATGAGTGTGATCATTCTGTGTCTGACCCTTTCCCTCTGATTTCATTTCACTCACCATAATACACACTTCATCTCCATCCATGTATAAGCAAATTTTATGACTTCATTTTTCCTGATGGCTCCATAGTAGTATTCCATTGTGTACAAGTACCATAATATGCGAATAATAGCCAAAGACAGTAGAAATGAGGGTCAGAAAGACTGGTCCATGGTAGGTATTATTGTTAAATAACTATTTTATTAAAATACCCCTTCCCTCTTTTTCTATTACAGACAGAGGCTGCATGGGCTGAAGAATATTATGAAAAGAAGAAAGGATCTCATAAGCGTTCAGCTTCATGGGGCAGTACAGATCAACTTAAGGAGGTAAGGAAATGATTGTAAGGGTATGGATATGGAAATTTGATCACTTCATTGACTAGTTCCTTGAACACAGAGGCAGTGTGAATTTTTCAGTTTCCCTTCCCCCCCCTTGTAGGGAATTGATATTTTGCTTACTTGAGAAAAGTAATAGAAAAACATTTATTATGTTGATTGGATATAGAAGTATGAAAAATTAGTATAGATATTGATTAGGTAGAATTTTTTTTAATTTAACATTTTTTAATTGAATCAGTGTGATACAGTTACGAAGTTGTTCATGATTCGGTTTCAGTCATATAATGTTCCAACACGTGTCCCTTGAACAGTATGCATTTCCCACCACCAGTGTCCCTAGATTCCTTCCCCCACCTCCCACCTACCTCTATGGCAAGCACTTTCCCTCTTTATCTCTCTCTCAGTTGAATTGTGTTTTAAATCCAACGTGATAATATAAACATCAGTTGTATAAAATTGTAGTGACACAACAAGTTCTTGTTTAATGTTTCTTTGGTAACATTTTTTTAATTCACTTGCCTAATATAATCAATTTGACTATGTTCCTATGCCATAATTACCACTTTCTATGTGTATAAAAAATAACTTTTGCTTTTTTACCACATCATGTAGAAATAAAAAATATATTAAAGTAATACAGAATTTTATTGCAATAAAAGTTTGTATCTGAATGCATTTCATTGAATTGATTTTTAAATACTATTAAAATTTTGGAGCTATTAAAAAAGTTAGGTTTTTGTGTAACAATAGCTGGAGTGACAGTATAGCAGGGACGACGTTTGCCTTGCACATGACCAACCCAGGTTCAGTCTCCACCTTCCCATATGGTCCCCTGATCACCACCCACCAGGAGTGATTCCTGAGTGCAGAGCCAGAAATAGTCGTGGGCATTGCCGGGTGTGAATCATTCCTGGCAGTTTGTAGAGGACCATATAGGATGCCAGGGATCATACCCGGGTCAGCTATGTGTAAAGCAAGTCCTGTACTATTACTCTAGCCCCTAAAATTTTTAAAAATCTAAATAAAATACGACTCTTGGTAGGGAAATGAGGAAATAGCTACTATTTTTTAGTTCTTTGTGAAAACTGTAATGTAACATACTGTTGATGCTGAAAGCTTCTTTTGTTTAGTATTCCAGAAATACTAAACAGATTTAGAATAGTGCTGGAATATAATTCAGATAATTTAAAAAGAAGCAAACATATGCATTCCTGCATATATGTAAATAAAATTTGTATAGTTAAATTTTGTGATGTGGATTACAAACTCAAAGTAGTTTTTTACTAGTTATTATTAAGTAAGGGTATGTTTTATATGTACCTTGGGAAACATCTGATGTTCTTGTTAATTTTTCCCCCTTTTAGATTGCAAAATTACGCCAACAGTTGCAGAGAAGTAAACACAGCAGTCGGCATCATCGAGATAAAGAACGACAGTCTCCATTCCATGGCAACCATGCAGCTATTAACCAGTCTCAGGTAGGATCACAAGACACCACAAAATCTAGACAAAGGATTTGTGTTTTCCTGTTTGGTTATTTGATGAGAATTTTCTTAGGAGAAATGTTAAAATCATATTTGAAACTCTGAATTATGAATTACGTCCCTTATTATAAATTGTTGGCAGTGTATATATTTAATGATTTGGCGATAACTTCTGAGAGGTAGAACTAATTGCACATTATGATGTACCCTTAAAAATTCTTTATTAGTTCAGTATAATAGTTATAAAAGAATATAGAAAGGGAGACATTGGCTTTGGGCCCAGAAAAGTAACTTAGCCTTTTTTTTTTTTCTTTTTCGGTAACCCTTGATGCACAGGGGTTACTCCTGGCTCATGCACTCAGGAATTACTCCTGGCAGTGCTCAGGGGACCATACGAGATGCTGGGAATCGAACCCGGGTCGGCTGCATGCAAGGCTACTGCCCTACCCACTGTGCTATTGCTCCAGCCCTACTTAGCCTTTTTGAGTCACAGTTTCTTTAATTGAAGATTCAAGATAATAACACCTTTTTTTAGCAGGGAAAATCCTTTAACTTTTATTTCTCTGAGAGTACTGTAGACTACTCTGGGTGAGCCACTCAGGAAGCACTTCTGTTAACTGAATGTAAATTAACAGTGTAGGTTTCTTTTTCTCCTAGCAAGAAAGACTTTTATTAATCTCTTTTATAGATGATGGACTGATGATTGCCAAGTATAATGTATGGTTTTTGAAAGAGTAGATTGCTTATTTCAAACTAAGGTCCTAAAATATTGACACAAGTGAAAGTAAATTTCACTGATTTATAGTTCATAGTTTCCAGTAATTTTTCCCACACATAAGGTTTTTTAATAAAGAAGCAAAAATATATACTAATATTTATAAGAACTTAAACTGGTTTATACCTAGAGAAATAGAAAATGTAAAATTAACAAAATAAGTCATAAACATAATAGATTACTATCACAATTTTTATGTTAGTTAAAAATCTTACTCTCAAAAAAGCTACAGAGCTAGTTTGATAGGTAAGTTTGCCAACCTTCCAGTCCCTTTTATCCATCCATAAATTTTATGTATTTCAAAGATACATACATATGGTTGCTTCCTCCCCCCCATACCTATTTTTACTCCAAGTAGAACTGGGTAAAGATTGAATTTTATTGAATTTAATGACAGATTTAAGGCGTTTATAAGTTACTATTTTTGTGGGAAGGGGTAAGGGTTGGAGGCCACATTCAGCTTGCTCAGGGCTTTCTTCAGGCTCTACACCCAGGGATCGCTCCTGGAGGTCTCGGGACCATATAAAGTGCCAGGGCTAGAAAACAGGTCAGCTGTGTGCAAGGCAAATGCCCTCCCCACTGTACTGTGTATGTTCTGGCCTCAAGTTACTTTTCTTGTTACAATTAAAGTTACTTTAATTAAAGTGAAGTTAACTAAAAATGTCTTATTATTTTCTTGCAGGTTAAATTTACTTAAACTATTGGAGCTTGTAATGAATTTCATGTTTGTTTAATTGTAAAACATCTTTTTATAGATAGGAGCTAGAAAATAGAGTAATTTGATAAATTAATGTATCTTGAGTTTTGTGCACTTGACATATCAGACATCTTAACTGACTTGTTTCATTTGCACATGTGTATCATGAAAACCAAGACAGTGGTGTTCATGTTTAATTGGAACTCTTGGCTATGAATATGAAAATATTATCTATTGAGTCATGGTCATGACTTTGTTTTAGTAGCTTCTGCTGTAGTGAAAAAAAAAGTATCACTTTGAAATATGTGTATATCGATCCATGTAGCATTTACTAAACATAGACCATGTGATAATTATTGGGATTTTTCTTTAGAGGATACAATAATAAATGAAATATTAGGGCTTACCCCACTGTCTCAAGTAAATATAAATCAGTAATTAATAATAGCAGTTTTATAATGAGTGTGTTAAGAGGGAGAGTTTAGAATAAGAATGATATTTATGCTTGGAGGTGATCTAACCATTTAGAAAGACTTCTCTGCTTTCTAAGAAATGGAAGAAATCATGATTCCGGTTAGGAGTAGTAGTAAGAAGTTTGTTTGCAGAGGTTAATGGTAGAAATCCTTGTTTCAGTTGTTGGGTTTTCAGAAAGTTTGGGCTTTCTCCTAGAGGGATCAGCAATTTTTTTTTAACATCAGGGTATTGGTAGGTGAATGGATAAGCATTTTATGATGGTCATTGTGAATTCAGAATAAGGAATGAATTTGGAAGAAAACAATTTGAGGTGGCAACCATTTTAATTATAGGATTTATAATTCAAGTAAGACACAGTGTAGTGACCTAAAGTAAGAGCTGAATAAAGGTATACAGCTGAAGAGAATGAACATAATAGAAATAATTTCTCAGTATCACTAGAAATATCATCACTTTCTAAATATTGCTTGAGTGATTTAGTGATTATTGAATTCAGTTAAATGCTTACTATCAAACTCTGTATTTAATTGCCAGGTGAATAAAACTGAACTTTTGATATTCCGTAAAATTTTAAAGCAATGATAAGTCGACCCTGGCACTGCTGAGCCTGACCATTGCTATTTCCTGTTGCCCTGTGCCCCATGATCAGTACTTAAGAACCCCTCAGTATCCAAACTAACTGATCAAAAATTTGAGCTCTACCCAAGACAGATTTACAGTGTGAGTACAGCTGAGTTAAAAATCTTAAAATAGGGGCTGGAGCAATAGCACAGAGGGTAGGGCGTTTGCCTTGCATGCGGCCAACCCAGGTTCGATTCCCAGCACCCCATATGGTCCCCCGGGCACTGCAAGGAGTGATTCCTGAGTGCAGAGCCAGGAGTAACCCCTGATCATCAGCTGGGTGTGACCCAAAAAGAAAAAAAATCTTAAAATAAACAAAAAGAAACATTTTCAGAAAGTAAAATAGAATTCCGAGACTCAGATTAGAATATATAAGATATCTGGATACAGTCCAAAATTACTGAACAAAACAGAACAATGAGATCCATTCTCAAAAGAAAAAGGTTAACATAGACCATCCCTGGTTTGAGCAAATGTTGAATTGAACAAAATAATATCAAGTATCTTATTATTACAAAGATCAACTGGGGATTGTGCTAATAAGAAATGAATATATATAAAATGCAAATAGAGAAATGAGATCTATTTAAAAAGAAACTAATACAAATTTTAGAACTGAAATATGCAGTATCTGAAATATGGAATTTAAAATGCCCTGTACTTAATAGGATTAAGATAATAACTAGTAAACTGGAAATATGTAGTATTGTTTTATAATATTTATTTGTTTGCTAGGGCCGGAGCAATAGCATAGCGGATAGGGCATTTGCCTTGCTCACGGCCAACCTGTGTTTGATTCCTCCGCAAGAGGATCCTGGCAAGCTACTGAAAGTATTCTGCCTGCACAGCAAAGCCTGGCAAGCTACATGTGACATATTCGATATGCCCAAAACAGTAACAACAAGTCTCACAATGGAGACGTTACTAGTGCCCGCTCGAGAAAATCGATGAACAATCAGAGGACAGTGCTATACAGTGCTATTTGTTTGCTAATTCCTTTATTAATTTTCTTCCACACACATAGGATGTATGCCCATACATACACTCTAATGGTGTGTTTTTTTCTTTTCTTTTTATAGAACTCTTGGGTATTTCTTTGAGGGCAGGTTTAGTGGTGATGAATTCCTTCAGTTGTTTGTCTGAGAAAGTTTTTTTTTATTTCTTCTTCAAATATGAGTGATAACCTAGTGGGTAGAGTATTCTTTGTTAGAGGATTATCCATTAATCACTTTAAATGTATCTTGCTTAGAGTTTCTCTGGACTGGAGCAATAGCGCAGTGGGTAGGGCGTTTGCCTTGCACGCAGCCAACATGGCCGACCCAAGTTCAATTCCTCTGTCCCTCTCGGAGAGCCCGGCAAGCTACCGAGAGTATCTCGCCCGCACGGCAGAGCCTGGCAAGCTACCCGTGACGTATTCGATATGCCAAACACAGTAACAACAAGTCTCACGATGGAGACGTTACTGGGCCTGCTTGAGAAAATTGATGAACAATGGGAGGACAGTGACTAAGTTTCTCTGGATTAATCTGCAGTTAATCTTTTTTGTTTTGTTTTTTGGGTCACACCAGTGATGCTCAGGGGTTACTCCTGGCTCATACACTCAGTAATTACCCCTGGTGGTGCCCAGAGAACCATATGGGATGCTGGGAATCAAACCCGGGTCAGTTGCATTAAAGGCAAATGCCCTACCTGCTGTGCTATCACCCTAGCCCCATCTCTTTATTTTTTTAAAATTTAATTTTCCATTTTTATTGAGAGACCAGAATTTACAAAATTTTTAATTATACTCCTTATGTATACATCATTTCAACACTATATCCACTACCAGAGAGTCTGCTTCCCTTTTCCCAAGGTCCTTGAAGCCACCCACCCCTACGTAACCTCAGTTTTATAGACTAAATCTCCAGCTCCGATGACAATGGCCATTGTTGTTTCCTTGCTATGTTTCTTTATATCCCACATAGCTAGAGGTAATTTTTTTTATGGCCATTGTCATCGGAACTGGAGATTGTATATCTTTTCCTTAGCTGCTATTTCAGACCTTCTATTGAGTTGTTTTTTCATTTTTATATCACTTATCATACCCAGCATATCTGTCACTTCTGATTTTAATTTTTTCATTTCTGCTCTCATAGTTTGTTTTGTTGACAATCTATGTTACAGTTTTTTGTTGTTGTTTTTGTTTTTAAAGCTCACTAAGCAACCTTAATATGATGCCACTGTAGTCAGTCTCTGGAAGTTTATGGAGCTCAAAAGTACTAGGAGAGCTTTTCCAATTATTATTTTCACTCATTGGGGTTGGTGGGCTTCTGTGTATCTTCCCTGTTGGGTTCCTGTGTTCTTGTGCTGAGGGTGAATCTCTGTCGTTCCCCTCCACCCTGTCTGACCTCCACCAGCAGACTCTGAAGGATTAGGCTGGATGTTGCTCTTTTCGTTCCCTGCCTATCTTCACCCAGTGGCAGGAAGTATAAGTGTGAGCAGTGTAAGGCATGATGAGTAGAGTTCTTCCACAGCCATATTTGCGGCCGCAAGGTTCAGGAGATGTGGAGGTGAGCCTTCTGAAATGGCACACTGTGGAGGGTTATGGGACCATCTGGAAGGGAACGAGATTGCTTCTGGATCAAAAATATCCTCAGGATGTCAGCCAGGCTATTACCCTCACCTGGAAGGCTGGATGAGCAACCAGAGGATCTGAGATCTATCTTTCCTTTTTGTCAGTTTGTTTATATTTATAATATCTAGGGCATTTGCCTTGCACACAACCAACCCGGGTTCAATTCTTCCGTCTCTTTTGGCAAGCTACCAAGAGTACCCCGCCCACCCGGCAGAGCCTGGCAAGCTCCCCAAGGCGTATTCGATATGCCAAACACAGTAACAACATGGCCGACCCGAGTTCAATTTCTCCGCCCCTCTCGGAGAGCCCGGCAAGCTACCCGTAACGTATTTGATATGCCAAACACAGTAACAAGTCTCATAATGGAGACGTTACTGGGCCCGCTCGAGCAAATCGATGAACAACGGGAGGACCGTGACCGTGACAATGGAGATGTTACTGGTGCCCACTCGAGCAAATCAATAAACAACGGGAGGACAGCGCTACAGTGCTATAATATCTTATTTATGCATCTCCTTGAGTTTATGGTTTTTGGAATTCTTTGAGTTTCTTGAATCTGGGTCTCTTCCTTAGTTTGGGAAAGTTCTGAGCTACTCTTCAAATAAGAATTCTTAACCTTTCTCTTTTTCTGGAGTTTTGTTTTTGTTTCTTTAATGGAGGAGGGCATTGATAGCTACATCTGGTGGCATTTGGGGGTTATTCACGGTCTGTGTTCCAGAATTGTTCCCAGTGGGATTGGGAGATCATGCAGTGCCAGGGATTGAACATGAGCCTTATACATGCAAAACATGCACAAGCCTCTAACCCCTTTTTTTCCCTTTGTTGTAATCCCTGGGGGGCGGGGGATTACTACTTTATCCTGAGCTCACTGATTTTCAGCTTCTTCCAGTATGCTGTTGAACCCCTTTGTTGTATTTCTTACCAGTAGTCTTTAACTCTTGGATATCTTTCTAGATTTTCAAGATGAAAATTTCCTTTCGTGCTTTGTCTTTGTTGAAATTCTGTTAAGTTGATCAGTTAAGTTGGTGATCAATGAGCACAAAGTCAAGAGTAAACCACCAACCACCTCTAGATGTGTTTCCAAAACAAAAACAGATGAAAACCAAAAATAAAAATAAATAACCCGAAGATTTTTAGTTGGAATAACCTACTTCCACTTCTTTCATAACTTTATTGTGTAGATGTATGAGAATATTGTGAGAAAATTGCATACATAATGATCACCCTCATATGTGGGGTACAAAGAAGCATAGTAAAGGAATAATAAGTGGCCAGAGACAGCAGAAACTAAGCACTGTTGTCAGAAGTGAGATTACCGTGTCGGGGAGGAGTTTATTCAGAAGCCCTAACATTAACAGTATTGGAAATCACAATGACTGAAATAATTTTATTTTTAGAAAATAGAAGTTAGGGGCCGGAAAGATGGTCCAGTGGGTAGGTCACTTGCCTTGTATGCAGCCAACCTGGGTTCAATCCCCGGCATCCCATATGGTTCCCCAAGCCCTCCAGGAGTGATTCCTGAGTGCAGAGCCAGGATTAACTTCTGAGCCTCACCAGGTGTGGCCCTAAAACAACAACAAAATAAATTAAAGTTAATTCCTTTGGTGCCAGGGAGATATTTCATAAGACTGCTGGAGCACATGCTTTGCATGTGGGAGCCCAGGGTTTGATCCCTAGCACCACATGGTCTTCTGAACACTGCTGAATGTATCCAACCCCCAAAATATTAATCCTCCCCTTAATGATCAGATGACTGGTAATAGTTTTTTGAATTCTTAATCACTTGTGCTCAACCTAATGAGATGTTTTTAATCTTTAAAACTCAGTAAAGGTTGGGAAAAATATATCTAATGTTGAACATTTTGTAAAACCTATATTTTCATATATGAGATAGGATTTTCAGAATGCAGAATTAGATTGACTTATATTAATCCTTTCTTTTTTCCTAATGCATCACTTTTTCTTAAGGCTCCTGTTCCAAAGAGTGCACTTATTCCAGTACTTCCCATCACCAAATCGACAGGCTCTCGGTTCCGGAATAGTGTGGAAGGTTTGAATCAGGAGATTGAGATAATAATTAAAGAGACTGGGGAAAAAGAAGAACAACTTATAGTAAGTAATATTTTCTCTTAAAACCATCCCTTATACAGTAACTCCAATTATTAAATATTTCACAATCTTATTTTCCACATTTACTTAGGTTAAGGTGGAATGAAAATTTATCCCTTTTGAAAAATGTTTGATCTTGAAAAGTAAATTAAAAAGTATGATTTCTTTGTATCGCATAGAAACTACTAATATGACCTAAATAGTTTTGTTCTAAATTTTTATTTAAGTAACGTTTATTATAGCTGAAGTTATTTGGTTACAGTAATTTTTAATGTATGTGATTTTGATGTACAAAATTACTGCTCCTTCACTACCACCAAAGTGTCCAAGACTCTTCACTAGATATTTTAGTTCTATACACACAAAATATTATTTTGCAATAATACCAATATTGTTTTATACTTGCAGTGCTGCTATACCAGGCCCACTTCCAGAGTGACAGATTTCCTCTACATTAAGGTGCCTGCCACCACCATGACTCTTAAAACCATCAAACCACAGTTTTATTAATTGTATCTCAGGATTGTTTCCATTAGGGATTGTGAAATGGCTTAAATTTTAATCAAACAGAAACTTTTTGTCTGTTAAAAAATTCCTAGACAGGTGATACATTTCTCATTTGCTATTTGTTCATTTAATAAAACTTGAGCTTACTAATTTATTGGGGTTGGGGTTTGGGTTATGACATTCATTCCTTATGAGTCTGCCTGTTCCTTACTTTTCTTTTAGTTGCTATTTGGTTGTTTATAACATCACGGAATGCAATTCCAATTTTCCTGTCTACTAACTAACACAGATAATAAATAAGTCGGGCAGAGAGAGTAATGGGTTAAGGCAGTTTCTTTGAACTAGTCTCATCCTAGTTCAATTCCCAGTACTGCACATGGTCTCTTGTGCACCACTAGCCCTTAAAGAAAAAACAAAACCGCCAGATAAGAATGACTCATGTGTAAGACACAGAAGATTCCCTGTTTATATTTAAATCCATAGCATGGAGTATATAGAATTTTATTATATCAGTATAAGAGGAATTAAAGCATTTAAACTAGTATTTCGTTGATGCTTAAGATTTCTCAACAATCAGAGTTGGTTATTTTTCTCAGAGAAAACACAAGTTCCCAATCCCTTTTCTCCATACTATTGGTGGGGGAAACTTTCTCAGATATAATAAAGTTAAATGAGCCAAAGAGCTGTTTTTATAGTTTCATTTTTGTTTTGTACAATAAGCTAGTGTCCACATTAAGTGAGGCATTCCAATTTTCCTCTGAATATTCACCTTGATTCTCTGTCTACCCCCTGTGCCCAGTAATCTGTACTGCTATGATGAAACTAACCTCATTTTGGGAGGTTTCTTTGAAAACTCTTTCAGGGTAAAGTGTGGCAGGGAAGAAGGTAAAAGAACCTGTCATCGAATCACTAGTTCATGCGCTGAATAACTCTTTTCTCTAAAATGGTGTTATTTCTTTTCTTTTTTTCTTTTTTTTTTTTTTTTTTTTTTTGCTTTTTGGGTCACACCCGGTGGTGCACAGGGGTTACTCCTGGCTCATGCCCTCAGGAATTACTCCTGGTGGTGCTCGGGAGACCATATGGGATGCTGGGCATCGAACCCGGGTTGGCTGCATGCAAGGCAAACACCCTACCCGCTGTGCTATCACTCCAGCCCCAAATGGTGTTATTTCTATAGTTTTTACTTTTTACCATACTTCTTCTTTATAATTTTACAATTATTTAGTTAGGTTTTTCTTTACCAGCAGCCACACATGGTGGTGGCTTATGGCCTTATTCCTGGCTCTGTGTTCAAGAGTGACCCCTAGTGGGGCTCAGGGATCGAATCAGGGTCAGCTGCATGCATGGTGAGCACCTTGTTCTTGTACTGTTTCTCCAATCTCTAAAATCATTTAGCACATCAGTAGTTATTCAGTGCAGTTCGTCACTAGTCAAGCATTGACTTCTTGCTCTATTACAGAATCAGGGCAATCCAAGTCTTTACCCATGCTGCTGAGCGAAGGAGTAAAATTACACCAAGTGTCACTTATGCAATGCACAAGACTCTCTCTTTGGGCTTGATAAGGGATTTCCAGTATGTGGGTCTCCTGGGACAATAAGGGGAGATAGATTTGGGTGTATCCCTGGGTGAATTCCAATATCAGTGATAAACATATGTCCATTTCTATAACTTATTGCAGCCGCAAGATATTCCAGATGGCCATCGTGCTCCTCCCCCGCTTGTACAGAGAAGCAGCAGCACACGCAGCATCGACACACAGACACCTGGTGGTGCAGACCGGGGAAGCAACAATAGCAGCCGCTCTCAGTCTGTGTCTCCCACATCATTCCTCACCATCTCCAATGAAGGTAGTGAGGAGAGTCCTTGTTCTGCTGATGACCTGCTTGTTGATCCCAGGGATAAAGGTACAATGTGGGAGGAAATCTATTACCAGATAAGTGAATGTTATCCCTTTTTCCAATTCACTTTTTTTTTTCCACAAATTAATATTTGCTCTTTTAAAAAATTTATTTTTTATTTAAAATACTATTAAAAAAGGTTTGTCATGGACATAATTCCAGTACACATCCCTCACCAGTGTACCTCTCTCCCCTCCTGCAAGGGACCCTATCCCTATGACCTCCTACCCCAGCTCAATCTTTTTTTGTGTTACTCAATCAAAATTGTGTAACACACAATTAAGGCTATTAAAGTATTTACATTGAAATGTAATCAAAACATAGATTTTTTTTTAAAAAAATGGGATTCAAAACTGGTTTTATAGTGATGTTCAATTGATTATATATTTAGATGGGCTAATGAACTTTTGTACCTTTATTCCCTTTTTTTTTCATTTGTTATAAAACAAAGTTTATTTTTTTAGTGTAAGATGAACATTTACTCTATAAAAGGTACTTTGTGGATGGAGCAATAATATAATGAGTAGGGTGCTTGCTTGTCTTGTATGCCACTGACCCTGGTTCTATCCTCAGCATTCCATATGGTCCCCTGAGCACTGCCAGGAATAACACTTGAGCATTTCTGGGTGTGGCCCGAAAACAAAAACAAAAAAGTAATTTGTTCCTCTGTTGACTTTCATTTTACTAGTCTTTTTTTCCTCCATTTGCACTGGGGTCCTTGCTAAACAGTACTTAGGGGACCCAGCGGTCATTCCTGGTGACTCTCAGCCAGCCAATCCTGGTATTTCAATGCAGGGGGTGTGAAGCTGTGTTTAGGGGCCCTGTAGTGCCAGGGTTAGAAATTGGATCCTGGCAGATGCAAAACATGTACCCCTGGCTGCTTTGCTGTCTTTCTGGCCCCTGCTTTACCACTTTTGAGTTGAAAGTTGGTGTTTTTAGGATTTTTTTAAAAATATATTTTTAACAGAATTAAACTGATTTATATCAGCGAAAAAGGAGTGTTTGAGTAAATTTGGAGTAAAAGGCTGGAGAACTGTTTATAATATTCAATAACTGCTGCAACTTAAAAATAAATTGGAGGTGCCAGTGAGAGAACATGAGATTCAGAATCCCTGGCATCCCTTGATCTGTCAAGCAGTCGATGGAAGCCCCCAAAGATGCATTCTTATTCCCTAGGCCTCTGAGTCCCCTGAACACTGCTTCGAAGCCCCCTAAAATGAAAAACTTTGGAGACACAAGCATTTTGATTATTAATTACTAATAATCTTACCTCTTAAAACAGGTACGAACTTTGATCTGGCCTTGTCAACTAACTAACTAACTAACTAACTAACAAATAACAAGTAACTCAGTTTTAGTTACTGGATGTACTTGAAAACAAAAAATAAGTCCTTGTCAGTTCTGTAGCTCCATTTAGTACTCAGAATCTCCTACTTGTGTTGAAATATCCTAATATATTCCATTGTTACAACCAGCCATTATTTCCAGTCACCCTAAGTTCCTGAGACTATAGTATAGGAAATACAGAGTACAGATTTAAGAAATCACAAGATATGACATGACCAGTGTAGGCATGACCAATTCATGGTGTTGGGAAAGCCAAGGATAATTCAATACAGTATGACAATGCATTGATGTAGAAGATTTTCTTGGTAACCCAATGTGTTCTTTATTGCAGAGAATGGAAACAACTCTCCTTTACCCAAATATGCAACTTCACCAAAACCTAACAATAGTTACATGTTCAAAAGGGAACCTCCTGAGGGCTGTGAAAGAGTCAAAGTCTTTGAGGAATGCTCGTAAGTATCCCCTCCCCCCTTCCCAACACACAGACATAAATGTTTATTATAATAAAGAACTGCCAAATAAGCTGAAGAGGAGTATTGATCACCCATATCCCCTGCCTATGTTCTATGATAAGTTTGCTTTGTCTGCTATTGGTACAGCTGTGCAGAACTGGAGCTGGAGCAGTAGTACAGAGGGTAGGGTACACATGTGCTTTGCACAATGCCAAACTAGGTTTGATCCTGAGCACCCCATATAGTTCCCTGCGCTCCCCAAGGGGTGAGTGTAGAATCGGGAGTAAGCTCTGAGCACTGAAACAAAAACAGAGCAGAAAATTTTGCCCTAAATTCTTGTGTGGCCCCAAATCAAAAGTAGAACAAAAATTTTTGCTGAACTGTTTGAATATGTTGCAAACATAACATTTAACCTTAGCTAGTTTAATACTCATTACCCATTTTGTGGCTAATGTGCCCATAAAACCACCTTATTTCTAATTACCACAATATTGTTATAAGACCAAAGATTTACTGTAATGCTTCATATCAATTAATATTCAGTTTTTACTCACATTTCTTCATTGTCCCCAATATGCTGTATGTGGCCATGGTTTTTGAACTTGTATACAATTATCACATATTAAATTTAATAGTTTAACAGTTTTGACCCACACTTAGTTGTGCTTAGGGGTTATTCTGGGTTCTATGTACGGGACCACTTCAGTGGTTCTTGGGGCATCATGCAGTGCATGCCAAAGATGAATTCTGGGCCACCTGCATGCAAAATATGACTCCAGCCTGCTGTACTATCTCTCTGACTTCTAAAGAAATATTTTATCTACCAGTCAGGTAACAGAAAATTCCATTAATTTGACAAATCATGTTCTCTGACGAAGCACAAGTCTAAATTAAGAATGCTTGGTATACTTGACGTGTAGTTCTATGCTCACATGTGCCTTTAGCTGACACTTTATTCAAAACCTCCAATTTTAGACTGAAAACATGTACAGAAAATATTTTAGCCTGTGTTTTCAGTAATTTTGACTTCTTGCTTTGTAAGTGATTGACAGGAATTAAGTGTTTATGAGACTTAACAGAACAGGTGAAAACCATTATAGAGTAATAATGGTAGCACTTAGCCCTCACTGTCCAGTCACAGCATGGATGTAAGTCTAAGAGCCACACTTGACTTTTTTTTACTACAAAAAATTTACAAGTGAAGGTTCTCCAGTCTCCTTTGATTCATGCAGTTTGCCTTTTTATTCAGTTATGAACATCTTCAAATTATTTGGAATGAGACATTTCTCTGTTCCTCTAAATCTTTCTCCTATGGGTGTTTTCCCTTTTTTTAAAAAAAATTTATTTATTGAATCGCTGTGGGAAAAATTACAAAGCTTTCAAGTTTAGGTCTCAGTCATGCAAATATCAATCACAATTCCCTTTACCAATACTTATTTTTCACCACGAAGAACCCCAATAAATCCCCACCCCCCAACCCCCCCCCATGTCTGTGGGGTAGATGAATTCTAGTTAACACTCTGTCTTTGACTAGCTTCATTGTTTTGATAAAAGTTGCACCATTATTATTATTTAGACTTTACCCCCCCTCCCAAACTCAGCCATGCTGAAAAAGCATTGTGAAATGATCTGTTTTCTACAGCTGGGTTTAAGAATTAAATGATGTTGCGTGGCTGCAATAGTGGCCACGCGGTTTTGGATTTATGCTGTTTTATTTATTAACCCTGCAAGTATTTCTACTGAGGGTCAGATAATTAAGAGATTGGTCTCTGTGCTTCTGGGGCCGTGGCCCTGCCAGAGAGCCGCTCGTGGGGGGCAACTGGTGACCTCGGTCGGGCGTGAAGGACGGGCAGGAGCCCCCCCCCCCCCCCCCCCCCCCCCCCCCCCGTCCCATCCCATGAGGTTTCAGTCGCGCCCCACCCCCGGCTCATACCTGCTGTCCACCAGGCTCCCATGCAGCCGCCATCTTTCTTTCCAGAGAGGAGAAGGCGAATGGGGCAACACCCTTTCCCCTCCGAGCAGGCAAGATGGCGCAGATTAATGCATAGTCCATTCGCTTTTCTGCTTCAAGCTGCTGGATTTCTGTATTAAGTCCTTGTGCTTTTGGGGCTGTGGCGCTGCCAGAGAGCCGCTCGTGGGGGGCAACTGGTGACCTTGGTCGGGCGTGAAGGACGGGCCGGAGCGCGCCCCCCCTCCCCCCCCCCCGTCCCATGAGGTACCCATCGCGCCCCCACCCCCGGCTCAGACCTGCTCTCCACCAGGCTCCCATGCGGCCGCCATCTTTCTTTCCAGAGAGCATGGGTGTTTTCCTTTAACCTAAATTCTGAATTATCTTCCCACAAAGAGAGAGAGAGAGAGAGAGAGAGAGAGAGAGAGAGAGTGTTTAATGCCTCAACTTCTCTACTAGGACACCTCAGCTGTCAATCTTATATCTACTTTTGTAACAGTAATTGAAAACTCTGCTTTTTTTTTTTTAAAAACCATGTTCGTCTAATTTCACCTAGTTGGTACCAGATGAAAGTGTAAGCAGCGTGTCTCCAATCTGTTTTATGGTCTTCCTTAGAACTGCAGGTACCAGGTCTCTTCCTAGGGGTTTTGAGTAAATATGGATTGAGACCTGGGTTATGCATCTAATAACTTAAGTCCTTCACATGGTATTTTTGTATACTCAATTTTAAAAACTCTGCCGTAGATCTTTCCATTAGAGAATTTTGTTGTGGTTGTTTTGGTTTTTGGCTATACATGGTAGTGCTCAGGAAATTTGAGCTTAGAAATCACTCCTGGTATTGTTCAGAGCATCATACGTAGTGTCAGGAATCGAGCTGATGTTGGTTGTTTGCAAATGAAATTCCTTAATCCGTATATTGTCTCTCTGGCTCTCATGAGAGCTTTCAAGAAGTGGAGACAATCTAATAAAAGACAAATGGTCCAAATGGAGTTTTCTTGAATTTTCTGAGCACTTTAATTTAGTCATTGGTAGTTAAGATTTGCCTCGCTACAGAGAAATGGTTGTTCCATCGGCAATTTTAAGTTTGTTTTAAAAATGACTTTGATAGAATATTTGTTATATAGTTCAGTGTTTTGTGTTATCTATCTAAAACTGTTGCCTTATGAAAATTTCTTAGAATGAGAAATAATTATACTTGCAGCTTCTAATAGTGTTTATCATATATACACTGGGGTGGTTAATGTTTTCTAAGTAATATAATAGTTGAAGTTAAATGATTACTTTTGGTTGGTTGAGGTAGTTATGGGGAATTAGGACAAAGAGAATATTTTTCACTTCTGTTTACTGTTCATGTTCTCTGGATCTGGGTAGTAAACAGATTAATGCTGAATACATTATTTTTATATGTATTTTATGGACATTTTCATGAAAATAGCAAGAAAATTCAGTTGTTTTTGGACTGTGTCATTAAGTGTCAGAAAGTTTATTTTTATCTTAGAAATGTGAGATTTTTGCCCTAAAGTTCCAGTACAAGCCACATATTTTAAGTCGTTTTTTAACAAGATACTCTCAAACGAAATTGAAAGACAGGTGTCATTTATAGTAAGGAGTAAAAAATGTATTAACTTTTTTTCTTTTTAGAATTTATTTTTTCTCTTTTTTATTTCTTTATTCATCACTGTGAGATACACAGTTATGAAGTTCTTCATAATAAAAATGAAGGTTCTGATGTACTTGAATTTTCTTGTGGAAACAAAATATTTAATAGAAACATAACCTTAACTTCCTTTCTACTTTAAGGAATTAAAAATGCTTTCAGATGGGGGAGGGAGGTAGAAGAGAGACAGAACAGTGGGTAGAGTGCTTGCATTGTGCTAACCCAGTCTAACCCATTCCTGGGTTAGATTCCTGGCACCCCATATAGTCCCCTGAGCCTCACCAGGAGTGATACCTGAGCACAGAGCAAGGAATAAACCCTGAGCATTGCTGGAAATGACTCCAAAACAATAAAAAAAATTATTCAAATGGTAAAACCAGGATGAAGAATTGTTACTGTTATTCTCTTTTTAAAGTGTATTCCAGTGTTCTGTGACTTAGAAGTATTGGGTTGTCTGTTTTATGTCTAGGCCAAAACAGCTTCATGAAATCCCAGCCTTCTACTGTCCTGACAAAAACAAAGTGAATTTCATTCCTAAAAGCGGCTCAGCTTTCTGCCTCGTCAGCATCCTCAAGCCACTCCTTCCCACACCAGATCTTACCCTCAAGGGCTCTGGCCACAGTCTGACAGTCACCACTGGCATGACAACCACTCTGCTACAGCCAATCGCTGTGGCCTCCCTGTCTACAAACACAGAGCAGCAAGACCGGGTCTCTCGAGGAACAAGTACAGTCATGCCATCAGCCTCTCTCCTTCCACCCCCAGAACCAATTGAGGAAGCTGAAGGGTAGGCCCCAGTGCTGTGTGTCCATTGTCCTGGAAAACTGAGAACCTGCTCAGACGACTTGACTGTAACGGCATCATGCACTCCCACTTGGCTGTGATGTGTTCCAGCTTGCCATGGTGTGACTTCTGGAAGAAAGCAACCCCTCTGAAGGCTCACTCAAGAAAGCCAGTCCTTAGTGCTTAGCCTGCTTTTTCTTTAAGCACTGATCAGAACAAGGAAAATCTCTTTACTTTTGGAGCTGAGTATTCCATTGTTGGTTTTTGCTTTGTTTCATTTTGAAATGAGACTTCTTAAGAGAAAAACAAACTGACCCCTGCAAACCTGATTCCTGAAGGGAGACGTGAATGATGCTGCAAGAACCATCTTTTATATGAAAATGACTATTTTATAATACCAATGTTACATTTTCTGAAACGTAGCAAACAGGATGTTCAAAAGATTCTTTGGTGGCCTCTTGTTTCTTGTTTCCCTTTTAGATACGTGCTTTTCCAGCTGTTTTCAGCATTGGGACCAAAGGGATTGTTGACATTTTCCCAGCAATCTTAATCTTATGACTATGTTCTTCTCCCAAACAAGAATTGATAGGTAAATGCATTGAATACGTATATATGTATAAAAAAGAGAGAAAAAAGCAATATTAGTACATTATGTGATTTATGTTTTTTTGATGTCCAAAGTTTGTGCATTGGGTGAAATTGTAAAAACTGCTGTTTCTCCTGTACACATTTCGCCACGTGGTCAGAAAAATTGTAGTCTGAAGACAAGTGCTTTAATGTTCTCACTCGTCATTGGAACTCGGTGAATGAGTCAAAAGGAAACTACCCAGTGTTGATTGCTAACTAAGAGTAAAGAGCCCCTTTGGTTTTCTGTGAAATAATGATCACATGATCTCCCTTCTTTACTACAGGTGTCATTCTATCTTGAATCATCACTGTATCATAGTCCCAAGAGATCCTAAGATGGCTATGCATGGATTTCCTCCTTTGCTTTTGTGATGTTGTTGTCTTGTGGATTTGGTCAGGGTTAGTAGTTTGCCAGGAGTGTAATCCATTGAATAGCAATCCGTAGACACAAAATCTTGCAGCTGACATTTTCTTTATGGTGGTTGGCACTGAGATGTTTTGCCTACAAATACTGCTAATTTTCCTTCCAATATACATGATGGGGAAAGCAGACAAGAAGAGCCTTGGAGCAGAATTAATGGGAACACTTGAAAGATCCATAGAGTTTTGGATTTGGGCTCATCCTAATACAGATTACTGCCAGTATCATATGGCAACAGTATTTCCTATTACAGTTTGTGGTGGTAAAACTAAGGAACAATTCTTTTTAATAATGAGTTTCAGCAAGTGGTGTTGATAAAGAGCATCTTTCTGAGATCTTCATATCCTATATTGTGATGCAATAATTTAATGTTCCTATTCATACTATAGGGAGAAAAAAATTAATGCTTACAAAAGGGATACAGTTTAGAAAGTTATCATGTTATTTTGTCCAGATATATTCCATAAGAGAATATCTACTGGTAGCATAAATCTTCTACAAGGATTTCTTATACTCATGCACCTATAAGACATCTAAATAATTGAAAATATTCCCTGCTAGGTTTAAAATGAAGTAGTCTTTAAAATGAAGTTGTCTTTAAAACATTCCAAATTAAAATGTTTTAATCTATTACATTTCATTTCATTTCATTTGATAGAACTCAAGAGTTTTGGTATCTTTTCTGTTCAAAACTAATATAACTGGACATACTGTACATTGTGGCTTCAGTATCAGAAAAATCTTGGTTACTCAGGGTCTAAATTTTCTGCTTGGTTATATATTTGAGAACTTTTTTTTTTGCCTTCTTTGTTAGGCCACTTCACTAGTGATACTGTTTTATCAGAATTAGAAAAAAAGGTAAAATTGAAATCAGGTACATTGATACAAATGGTAGAGGAGGAAGTTAAAATCAAAGTTCAAAGAAAACCCTGATTGAGGATCCCTGAGTTTTGTTGTATCTCTTCTTTTCCTTGCCTTATACTTACTTTTATCTCCCACAAATCACAAGGGTATTTTCCATCGGAATACCCCTTTGTAAAACTGTTTTTCCTTGTACTACATATGTTGTTCATATTGTCACATCTTTCTGTGGAGTTTCATACAACTTTAATTCAAAATGGAATGGAAGAACAAGTTTAAGGTAATAAGTCTATAAATGGAACTTCAAATTTAATGTTTGGTTGTAGGAAAATGTGAGTTTGCAGGCAGATACAACAACCAAATGTATCCCTTGGTTTGGGGAGAAATGGAGACGTGAGGAAAAAAGTACAAGGTACAAATAATTTTTAACTGCCAGTGCCAAAGGGCTAATTTTTAAGCATATAAGCTTTATTGCAGTCTTGAGAAAATATAAACTATAGATCCATTCAGCTCTTAATCCTTAGTAGTTTACAGGTGTTTTCTTTTTTTTTTTTTAATAAGTCAACTCTCAGTAGAATGCATAGTATTCTTTTCTAAAATTACATTCCATAATTATCTTATTCTCTGGAAAAATGTACAGAAGGTAAATTAAAATAGTTTCAAAGGGAATATAATTTAAAATTTTTAAATAAATGTATTTCCATTGTAATGAAGTGGGGATGGGGATAAACATGTATATTTCAGCCAAAAGAGCTATTCTTTGGTTATTTATTTTGTCGGATTCAAGATAATTTTCTCCCTTACATAGTTTCTTCTTTGTGGTGATAAATCTTGAGTAAATTTACTGTTTCTGCTCATGACTAAGCTCTAAAGCTCCTCATGATTTTCATAAACTGTATGTTTATAAAATACCCTCTTTGCTGCTTTGGTTAATATGGTGAGCATGGATGCCAAAATAATTTTTAAATTATATTCTTTCATTTTGTTTAAAATGTTTCATATATATATATATATATAAAAAGCCAAATCAACCTTTTAGAAGGTGCTATTGCTAACTGTGGAGGAACTGGCAACAAAACAGTTTTTTTCCTTTTTCTTTTTTAATGGTTGGCTTCTACTAGAAGAAAGATATAATAGAATTTATAGCTTTCTTTTTGTCCAAAATTAAGACTGGGTTGTCAATATTTTTGTTAAAGGAAATAAAATTGCCACTACTGAATTTAACTCTTCTAAACTTAAATTCATTCCTTAATGCTTAGAATTTTGAAATCAGACCAATAGGAAGTGCTGAATTTGTATTTTAAAAGATAAGAATACTTAACTTTGCACTTTAAGGTTAAGTTTTACTCTGCCTAAATTAATGATAAGCAGGGCAGCCCTGAACAATATTTTGTTTATACAATCCTGTTAGAGAATATAATTTATGTTTTTTTAAGTCTATCTTTCATCTCTGTTGTCCTGTAAATCTTTTCAATGCAGTTAAAACTTTTTTTTTTGTTTTTCTGAAAAATAATTCCCAAGATGGCATTTCCAGTGGTGATAGATACTGTTACTATGTATTATGTATTCCCTGTATCTGAACACTTGTTGCTGCCTCACAAGAAAATAGAACTTTTATGTTAAAAATAAAGTCTGTTCTTCTTGAGAGTTTTTCCAGTGTGCTTTTATCAGTAGCTTCAAATTGTAATTTCATTTTCAGATAATTCTAGCCTAAAATAACACAAAAGTGTTTCTCACAAGTTAATGGTATAGTATTTTGTCTGACTTAGTAGGAGTATATGTAGTTTTGTCAGCTATCCCTTCTTTGCTACCTCCTTTCTTTCTCTAGATCTCAAAGCGCCTGATTTCTGTGGTAAGTGTTAAGCTTTAAAAACTAAAATACAGAGGCTGGAGAGATAGCACAGCAGGTAGGGCATTTGCCTTGCACGCGGCCGACCCGGGTTCGATTCCCAGCATCCCATATGGTCCCCTGAGCACTGCCAGGAGTAACTCCTGAGTTCAGAGCCAGGAGTAACCCCTGTGCATCGCCAGGGGTGACCCAAAAAGGAAAAAAAAAACTAAAATATAAGTATTTAAAATACAATGTATTTATAAATAATTCAGTATTTCAAAGTTTAAGAGATTTAGTGGGTCAGTCTTTAATTTCATTCCAAAGTATATAAGGGAGAGGAATTCTTTTTGGTTTTATAATTCATGTGAATCTAACCATATTCCTGTTTGTTACAGAGGCTTCTGGAGTTTTGGGGGGGGAGAGGGGAGAAAGGCCTTGGGACACATCTGGCAAAACTCAGGTGTTTCTCCTGGCTCTGCACTCAGGATATACTCCTGGCAGTACTCAGGGGACCGTATGGGATTCTGGGCTTGAACCTGGGTGAGCCTCATGCAAGTTAGACTCTTACCCACTGTACTCCTTACCCGCTCCATCCCCCAGAAGTTTATCTATGAAAGATAGTTTTGGGGGCTACAGGATTTGTTGTATGTGCACACAACAGAACTAATAAGCTGTGTCCCAGTGAAGACTGCCTGAATGGTCATTTCTTCAGAAGCGGGGCAACTTTTATTTGTTGCAATTTTTATATATTTTATTTTCATAAAGTAGTTCACAATAGTTCATTGCAAATAATATTTAAACACCAGTCCTACCACTGAGCACCTTCCCACCACCATAAGAGGAAAGTATGTGGAGTTCATTGTATGTTGTTGTATTTCATTCTGGAGCCATTTAAGCCCATATATAAGAGAATGAAGCAAGTATGTTAAAACCAAACAAATATATGCTACTTTTGGTATGTAAGTGGTCTAGAATATAAGAGGTCACTTTGCCACAAATGTGGCTGTGTGCTCCAGGAAATTCTGCATAGCTCTCTTCTGGGAGCTTTGGTTTATAGTCTCTGGGTCTTGGCTGTTGATGAGATTATGTGGCACTGGGGGTAGTTTGTGGGTGTGACTGCCAAGCTACTGGAAAACTGGGGAGCTGGGGGTAGGAGGCCAGTACCGACCCGAGCAAGCTTGAAGGTCTCAGTCACAGGGCCCGCATACCTGTTCCCACTTGGGTGAGGCACGTCCAAGTGTGTGGAGGGTGGTCTTGAGCATGGCAGAGGTTGGGTTCTGCTTCGGGCAGGGAGAAAACTCAGCCACCCCCCTCCGAAGCAGGGCTCTTTTTAAGTGAAGTCAAATCACTCCAGCTGTCAATCATAAAGTCACCAAATTACTTTGCAAAAAATTCTGTGAGTTATTTCTTGTGGGGGAAGTTAATGTATTTACATTATAATTTAACATTGCATCAAATGCAAGGACTCAAATTGCACAAGCTTTTTTTTTTCAAGCATTCCTCTTCTTTTAACATACATATTCATAATCACATTCATACTCATACACACGCACACAGATTCACAATCACATTCATACACACACATATACTCATACACACCCACGCACAAACTCATTTACACACACACACCCTCACACAGTCACACTCATAATCACTCATACTCACACACTCAGACACATATACTTAGTCTCACATATATATGTATATATATATCACATATATATGTATTATATGTGATATATATACATATATATACACACATTCACACTCATACCCTCACACACTCACACATATGCATGTGAGAGTGACTGGGATCCTGAGCAGATTAGGGGCTCCCTTGTCTCACAAAACTTTCAGTGTTCTGTGTCAGAGCCTGTGACATGCATGTGTGAGCATTGCATGGAGCTCAGGGCTTCTGTCCAGGTCTGGAGACACAATGCCCCACTGTTCTGAGACCTCCTGTCTGTCCTTGTCCCTGAGGAAAGGAGCAGGAACTCGTGTTCCCGATACAGCTCTGTCACATGGGACATTGAGAGGTCCAGCCAATGTGGTGTGACAGAGGGCGAAACCGTCTCCTCCCTCTCCTGCCTGCTAGTGCCCATGGCCCTGGGGCTTTGGCCGCCTCCTGGGCTGGCCTGGACGTGTGGTGATGGTGGCCCCAGCGGCTCTTTTCTCTGCCCCCCACAACCAGGCCGGTGGCCTCTGCAAGCTTCTGAACTGGGCGTGAGCCAGAGAGCAACCTGGTGGCCATTCTGGACCCGAGAGGAGCCCCCACGGCCACCCTGAGCCCCAGAGGGGCCCACATGGCCACTGCTGATACAGGTGGGAGGTGACAAGGTCCCAAGCCCCCACATCCTCGTCGGAGCAGACACCAGCCATTTGAGAAACTGCTCAGGTGAGACAGCCGCCAATGCCATGGGCCTCAAGCACCCTGCATTCTGCTGTTACCGTTTTAGTTTGTTTGCTTTGTTTGGGGCCACACCCAGGGATCTCAGAAGCTGCCCGCAGTGCTTGGGGACCCGGAGGTGCTGGGTTGGTGCCGGGCCTCTGAAGAAGCAGCCTGGCTCAGCCCGGAGTCCTCTGTGGCTTCTGCCATGGCCTTTTCTTCCTCCCCAAAGCCATCAAGCCATTAGGCCCCAGTCAGTCGGCAGCAGTTTAGGAAAGCTGAAGCCGTCCCACCTTGTCCGATCTCTCATGCCACCAAGGGACGGTTTCTCCGACACACGCTTCATGATCCTCTGACACTGAGCTGGTGTGTCTGTGTGTCTGCATTGGGTAGGGATGATGGAGGTGTTAATTTGGGGCCCCGCAGACACCCAGCAGTGAACTGCCTTGTCGCAAAGGGCACTGGTTATTTCCAGTTGCAAATGAAACAGGCTCACGAGCTC